CTAGCTGGCTAGCTAGCCCGCCAGCTAGCTAGCTAGCCAGCCAGCCAGCCAGCTAGCCAGCCAGCTAGCCAGCCAGCTAGCTAGCTAGCTGCTGTGCGTGTTTGCTTCAGAGTCCGGTACTTGAAGTACTCGCCGGAACACGAGCACTGTCTCTGTTTCATTTTTTGTCCCTTCGTGTCTCCGGGGACTCCGTGGCTAGCCATGCGGGAGGGGGGGCCAGCTAGCTACAGAGTTGCTGCTAGCGGGGTGGCGCTAGCTGCTGCTGCTGCTGCTGCTGCTGCACCTGCTGCTGCTGCTGCTGCTGCTGCTTGCGGCATTCAAAAGAAACTCAAACTTGTCGGAGAGACTAAAAGCATTAAAAAGAAAACTGCTTTTGTCAAGGGGATGTTCAACTCCCACTTGGAAGTCAACAGGTGCCTTGGTGAGACTTTTATTTATTTATTTACTTATTTTGTTTATTTTATTTGTTTATTTTATTTGTTTGTTTTACTTGTTTTGTTTGTTTTATTTTTTATTTATTTTAGTTTAGTTTATTTATTTTGGTTTGCTTATTTGTTTTTGTTTTTTTTGTTCTTTTCTATTTTGTTTATTTTGTTTATTTTATTTTGATTTGTTTATTTGTTCATTTTATTTCATTTTATCTTATTTGTTTTGATTAATATATTTGTTTGTTTGTTTTGATTTATTCATTTTAATTTTGCTTTGCTTGTTTTGATTTTGTTTATTTGTGTGTTTCATTTATTTGTTATATTTGTTCTTTTTATTTACTTGTTGTATTTGTTTACTTATTTAAATCAAATGGAATAAGCCAAATGAATTAAATCAAATTAAATCAATTAAATTAAATTAGATAAAGTTATTTGAATAAATCATATTAATTTAATTTAATTTGATTTAATTTGATTTAATTAATTTGCATGCAAATTGCGTGCAGAAACAAAGATTCAAACACTTCCTGGAATAAGAGGCCAAATAAAAAATATCAATTAGATAAAATAAAAGCAAATTAATTAAATCAAATTAATTGCATTAATTTAAATGATTTGCATGCAGTTTGCATGCAGTTTGCATGCAGTTTGCATGCAGTTTGCATGCAGTTTGCATGCAAGTTGCATGCAATCTGCATACAATTTGCACGCAATTTGCATGCAATTTGCATGCAGTTTGCATGCAGGAGCAAAGATTCAAACAGTGTCTGGAACAAGAGGCCAAACAAGAAGCCACTGACATCGAATAAAAGCAAATGAATAAAACCAACTTAATTAAATTGAACTAAATTAATTAAGTTAAATTAAATTAATCAAAGTAAATAAATAAACAAGTTAAATTAAATTATTATTTAATCTGCATGCAGGAGCAAAGATTCGAACAGCTTCTGGAATAAGGGGCCAAATTAAATAGGCAATTATATCAAAAAAAAGCAAATTAATAAAATCAACTCAATTAAATTAAACTAAATTATTTAACTAAACTAAATTAATTAAATTAAACCAATCCAATCAAATCAAATGAATAAATAAATTATTATTGTTTAATCTGCATGCAGGAGCAAAGATTCAAACAGTTTCTGGAATAAGAGGCCAAATTAAAAAGGCAATTGGAACTGACGGAACTTTTAGAGCTTCTTTCGAAGACAAAGTCCTCAAGTCCGATCTCATTCTTTGCAAGACTTGGGTCTTGGTAAGCTAGGGTTTAGGGTTTAGGGTTTGGGGTTTAGGGTTTAGGGTTTGGGGTTTGGGGTCTGGGGTTTGGGGTTTGCAGTTTAGGGTTTACAGTTTAGGGTTTGGGGTTTAGGAGGGTCTAGGAGGGTTTAGGAGGGTTAGCTGCTGCTGCTGCACTGCTGCTGCTGCACTGCTGCTGCACTACTGCTGCTGCTGCTGCTGCTGCTGCTGCTGCAGGTGTGTCCGCATGCGTTTTACAACCCGGTGTTGGACCTTCCGGGCTGGCGGGGTTTGCGTCTTTTGTCGGAAATAAAAAAAGAGAAAAAAATAATTTCAAAACAAAAGGAGACACTTTTCCATTCTTTTGGAAAGGCCCCCAGGAAGCAGCACTCCTTCTTCCCCATCCGGATCCCCAAACAACTTGCTGCCAAACTCCCCCTCCACTCCAGGCTCAAGGTCCTGCTGCTGCTGCTGCTGCTGCTGCTGCTGCTGGTGTTGGTGGTGGTGGTGGTGGTGTGGGCGCTGCTGCTGTTGTTGTTCTGCTGCTGCTGCTGTTGCTGCTGCACGTGCTGCTGGTGCTGCTGTGGTTGCCGACGCCCCTGCTGCTGCTGCTGCTGCTGCTGCTGCTGCTGCTGCAGGGCTCGGGAGTGCGTGTGTGTGCGTGCGCGCAGCTGCAGCAGGGGCGGCGAGTGGGGAAGCAGCAGCAGCAAAAAGAAAGAGACATGAAGAAAGCTTTTGTGTCTCCAAATGAGCGGCGTGCTGCAGTGCTGCTGCAGCAGCTGGAGACTCTGAAGCGGCACAGAGACAAGCGGCGGCAGCAGCAGCAGCAGCAAAAGGCCCGCCTCAAGCAGCAGCAAACTGACAAGCTGCAGCAGCAGCAGCAGCAGCAGCAAAAGGAACGCCAAAAAAGGAGACACTCCAAACAGGGCAAAATCGAGGCCAGCATGCGAAAGCGCCTCCGCCTTGACCCAGCCAACACCTCTTAGCCAAATAAATAAATAAACAAATAAATAAATAAATAAATAACAAATATGTTTATTATTTATTTATTTATTTATTTAAATGGGAGTAAAAAGGGAAAAAAGCAAAAAAAACTACCCAAGGGTTCCCTCCCAAACGCACGGGGGCCCCTGAGGGTACAGGGGGCCCCCAGAGGATCTCTTGGGGGCCCCCCGGCAATGGGAGGGCCCCTGAGGGTACAGGGGCCCCCAAGGAGGCCTTGGGGGCCCCTAAGGAGTCCTTGGGGGGCCCCCAAGGAGTCCTTGGGGGCCCCTAATAGGGCTTCCAACTGTTTTAGGGCCTCTTGGGGGGCCCCTGTATCTGAGGGCTCTCTGGGGAGCCCCTAGGGGGCCTCTAGGGGCCTCTAGGGGTCCTCTAGGGGGCCCCCTGGCCTAGAGAGTTCTTTGGGGGCCCCCTTAGGGGGCCCCCTGTCTTCAATAGTTCTCTAGGGGCCCCCCCCTAGGGGGCCCCTGTCCTACAGGGTTCTCTAGGGGCCCATTAGGGGCCCCCTAGGGGCCCCCTTGTCTTGCAGGGTTCTCTTGGGGGCCCTAGGGGCCCCCTTGTATTAGAGGGTTCTCTGGGGGCCCCTAGGGGGCCCCTAGGGGGCTTGTGTATTAGAGGGTTCTCTGGGGGGCCCCCAGGGGGGCCCCCCTAGAAGGGCCTTTGTGGGGGCCCCCCTGGGGGGCCCCCTTGTGACAGTGGTTTTATATCTTTTGTCTCTTTTGTTTCTTTTGTCTCTTTTTGAATTATTTATTTTGCTAAGAGCTTTTGAAAGTAAAGAGGAAAAGACAGTTTTATATTTGCAAAAAGAGGTAGGAGAAACGCCCAAAGAGGGCTAGGGTTTAGGGTTTAGGGTTTAGGGTTTAGGGTTTGGGCTGCGGCTCATGACCAGCCCAAGACAGCCAACGAAAGAACCAAAGCTATTCGAATAAGTAAATAACTAATTAATTAAAACTAATTAATTTAATTTAATTAATTAAATCAATTAATTAATTAATTCATTAATTAAAACCAAGGTTCTTCTGCGTCTCTGAGTACAAAGACAGGAATACCCTCACTGGCGGGGGCCCCCGTGGGGCCCTCTGCGCTGCTGCTATCTTGCTGCTGCTGCTGCTGCTGCTGCGGCTGCTGCTGCTGCTGTGGGGTTCTCGCAGCAGCAGCAGCAGCAGCAGACGGCACTGACGCAGCAGCCAGTGGTAGCATAAAGGGTTTAGTTTTGGGGCCCCCGGGGGCCCCTGGGGGCCCCCCCGAGGGCCCCAGAAATGTGGAGGCCCCCTCTGGGGCGCCCCTGAGTTGATTTGCTGCTGCTGCCTTTTCAAAGCTGTAGGCCCCCTTGAGAGCGGGGCTGCTGCTGCTGCTGTTGCTGCTGCTGCAGTTGCGGCTGATGGGCTCAGGAGGGTTGTTGTTGCTGCTGCTGCTGCTGCTGCTGCTGCCGTTGTCTCTGCGCAAGCCAAAGAAAGCAGCAGCAGGGCCCAAGGGGTCTGAAAGGGCCTCTTCAAGACTGAGGTGCTGCGCGAGAGCAGCAGCAGCAGCAGCAGGAGACCCCTGGCTGCTGCTGCTGCTGCTGCTGCTGCTGCGAGCAGCAAGAGCAGCATGAAACTGCATGTCTTGCTGCGCAAGCTGCTGCTGCAGCTCTTTTATTTGCTGCTCGTAGTGGCCCCTCAAAGTGCAGAGACGCTCTCCAGCATCCGCCAAACTCTGCAGCAGCAGCAGCAGCAGCAGCAGCAGAAGCAGCAGCAGCAGCAGCTGGATTCTTCGTACTGCGTTTTGCAGGCAGGAGTAAATCTAGTGACAAATGAATTAACTAAGTAATAAATAAATTTAATTAATTAGTTAATTAATTAATTAATTAAATTAATATAATTAATTAATTTAATTAATTTAATTAATTTAATTAATTTAATTAATTTAATTAATTAATTTGATTACTTTAATTAATTAATTAATTAATTAATTAATTAAAATTCACCTCTTCAAGAATTTTCTTTTCTGCTTCCAACTGGCGAATTCTCTCGAGGGCGAAATCGAGCTGAAGAAAAAAGAATTTAAAATTAAATAAAATCATTTTAAATAATCTGAATTTAATTTATTTATTTTAATCAATTCAAAATTAAAATGAATATATTTTTAATTAATTTAAAAATATATTTATAATTTAAATATCTAGATTGTTTAAATCCATTAAAGGTGATTTAAATTAAAAAAAACTTTTAGACAGTTTAAATTAAGTTAGTTTTTCTAATACACCTTAAGTTAAAATAAATCCATTTGGACAATTTAAAATAAATCCAATTCTAAATAATTTAAATTAATTAAATCCATTTGGAGACAATTTAAATAAAAATAAATTTGCTTAAAAATAAAAGAATTTAAAATAAATAAAATCCATTTAAAAGAAATATAGAATAAATAAATCCATTTGGAGGTAGTTTAAATTAAGATAAAAATTAATTTAAATTCAATTAATCGATTTTGTTAAATTAAATAAATTAAATTAGATTAAATCAAATCAAATTGAGTTAAATCGATTTAAATTACATTAAATCATAGTAAATTAAACTAAATCAAATTAAATTAATTTGACAAACAAACTAAAACAAGACAAAGAAAAATGAAATAAATGAAATAAAACAAAATAAAATAAAACAAAAGAAAAGAAAAACAAAAATAAAACAAAATAAAATGACCAAAATAAAATTAAATAAAATGCAATAATAAAACAAATAAAATAAAATAAAATAAATAAAATAAA